CTCGCAATAGTCAGCGCCAGTTCCTCATGCCCCGCCCGAACAGTCGTCAAACAGTCGCGTTTACAGCCGAACGCCGAATGACACTTAAATGTCGAAGATGCAACATAAACTTCCATAATCGTAAATATAGATTTGTGCGGCACGTAGTGGCCACAGTGGAGACACAACCGCCGCAACGTAACAGCCACTCAACGACCCACGCCCCAATCGCCTTTCTTGTGCTCCAGATCTTCCCTGCACAGTGCCCAAAGGCCGCTATTGAACTCGAGGAAATCTCTGAGGCCATCGATGCACAACAGGTAACAGGTAATAGTTAATGGGTAACAGTTAACAGTTAACAGTTAACAGTTAACAAGTTACAATTGCCAGCAACAACTTAAACTCATCTTGAGTCACTTTTCAGCTTCATACAAAGTTGACTTTTACTTAAGAGAGTGTTGATTCTTAGCTAATCATAGATACTACTAGGCAAATGGTGCAAGATATCGATATATATCGATTTACCGATTGTATATGATAAACTCTGACTACCACTGACTTTGATATGGCTAGTCATGCAGAGCCTTCTGTCATAGCCATAGCTTGCCAATGTTGCAGCTGGCTAAGGACTTGCTCAAGCTTGGCTCAAAGAGCCGTTGTGACTGTTCCATATAGTCCAAAGAAAAGCTAGAAGCGCTTCTTTTCTTATAGGCAGAGCAGCTAGACCTTAAAGAGGAGACTCGAAGTTAAGAAGAGTGAAAGTAAAACACACACACGAGTGTGCGTGTGCATGTGAATGGCAATTAAAGCTTAAAGCTCCAGGTTGCTGTGGCTGGGCTAAGTCTTTGACGCTGTTGTCACTAGCTACAGGCGATACAGGCGTAGCTGGCCAGGATAATGACAGAGCTGAGCAGAAACGTATATGGACGCGAGTATATATCCTCTAATGACACTTTTAACAGCTGTTATATTTCTCGACGTTGCTCTTTGTTGTTGTTGTTGTTGTTGTTGTTGTTGCCGCCCTCAAGAGACGACGGCAACGTTAGCGAGAAGGCCGCACATATTTGAAGACATAAATAAATGTCAAAAAATGCAGATTACTTATTAACCCCTGTGGCGTGCCACAACTCCAGCTCCAGTTCCTGTTCCTGTTACGTCTCCTGCTCTCTTCTTGCTTTAGATACAGCTACAAAACCTCCGCTGCCGATGCCGATGCCAATGTCGATGCCTTAGCCGCGATGTTATTCATTAATAGAAGCGCGCTGCGTTCGCTGTTGGCTCAGCCCAGCGTAGTTAACATGCCCACACACACACGCACACGCACACACACACACACACAGACGAAGCGCGCCTCACGCAGCGTCTTTGCCACCTTGAAAGGCGGGAGAAAATTATTAGCTCTTTGGTAATATTTTCTTGCATAAATTTTTGAATCATTTTTTTTTTTCTTTTTCATCTCTCTCTCTCTCGCTCTCTCTGTCGCTGTCTCTTTTGGAGCCTTTATAATTTCATATTTGGCATCGTTTGGGCAAAGTCGCTTCGTCGCTTTATTTTCAATTTAACCCTCATTGTTGTTGCCGCTGCGCTGTGTTTTCAGGTTTTTTTTTGTTGCGTGTGGCATAAAAATTGAATCCTAATCCATGAATATAGATGATTATTATATGCCCACCGTCCCAGCCCACCTGAAGCCCCAGCCACTGGCCTAGCAGCGGGATGGCAGCCCATTAGAATATTTTGTCTGTGCTCCGCTTCGGCTGGTAATTTTCTTTTGTTTTGCATTTTGCAGTTCACCTCAACCGACAATGGGCAACCACCGAACCACCCATTACCCTCGCCCCATTCACCATTCGGCTCTGCCCAGCCAGGACTTCAACAACTAGCAGATACACCGGGCTCCAAATGAAAACGCCGCCAAAGTTGTCGTAAAATTTTGTTATGACTTTTTCTTATTGCCTTTCGCCGTTCGTGGCGTTCTCGAACGCATTCGAAATGGAAGGCGCTGGGACGGCGAAGGCGTGGCTGCTTGCAGAACTCATGCAGATGAGCGTGTGGCTGAGAAGGCGGCGGCGAGAGCAAGCTCGTTTTTAAGTTACTTCCTGCTGGTATTTAAAGTTGTAAAAATTGATGAGTCCTCTCTGGCTGCTCTGAGCTCTGCTGCTGCTGAGAATAACTGCGCCCTTATAAATATACCTATATATATATAAAGCTATGTATATAGATATATATGTATTTCGTTTCAGCTGCTGCAGTTTCATTTTGTTTTTTTTTTTTTTTTTATTTTGTCTAAGCCTCATAGATATGCTCATCAGCTATTGTTACACTGCTGATGCTGTTGATATCTCTTAAAGCTATTGAAGCTGCTTGGGCAAAATATACGCAGTTCTATATCTGCTATATACACATATTATATGTATGTAAGATAAATGCAGCTGTTTCAAAAAAATCAGAGCTCTTGTGAAGTTTCTGCCAACAGCTTGTCTAAGATAAACTAAACTATATATATAAATACATGTATATATATATAAATATAAGAGGATACTGAATCCTCTTTCGCCTACTCTTCGTCCAGTAATGCGCATAATGTCTTAGTAGCCAGTTCGCTCTCACCCAGCAACGCTTAGGACTACTTTTAGCAACAGCTATATTTGTCTCCTTCTCTCTCTCTCTCCTAACAGCCTGCAACTAAAACGCAAACTCACTTGGATAATATTTTACAACAACTCAAGACAAGCTGTAGGGCTCTCACTAATACTACTGCAACAGTGAAAGCCAATCACGACAAAATCGAAAACAGAATAGTGTAAAGAGCAGAGACAGTAGAAGAGTAGCAACGAAGTCTGTAGTATATGTATATGTATATATTCTATTTAGCGGTACTTAGTTCTATTCCTCTGTGCCTGCCATTTCGACAAGCCTGGCAGAGTTCACTGTGCTGCGCAACCTGTACGTGAGCTAAAGTGAGAGAAGGCTAGTGCCAAGTTGTGGTTGTGTGTGTGTGTAGATATACGCACGATCACTCGAAAGGTAGAGTGGCATAGTCAGTCTGCAAGAGAAGCACATGGAGTAAAGTCGTGTCACGTCCTTTATCCTTGCTGAGCTCTTGATGGGCATACACTCATAAGTTTATATAATCTTAATATATAGAAATAATATGGAAACGATTCTATTTGTTTGGATACTATTGTCTTTATCACTTAATTTTGTTGTCAAGCATTTCTTTCTCCCTCACACTACTGTGTGAGGCAGCGGTATATATGATTATGATGAAGCCATGTCAGCAATTGCAGCTTTGATATAGGATTTCTTGATAGCTCTACGCTGTGTTCATCACGTACCACCCTCACTCGTTTCTTGGCTAAGCCAATCGCCGAGCTTTGTTGTAATTTGCGTCATGTAAATAAATAAATTATTAGAAAATTAACAATTTTTGCAATTAAAACTACAACTAAATTACAAATGCATTAAATTGCGCCACACATACACACACATTCATAACGAGCAAATAATAATGGCCGCGGCATTTGTAATAACAATAATGAAAAGCCATTTGGCCATTTGCCCATTTGGCCATTTGACCATTTGGACATTTGGCCATTTGCGCTGGCCGACCAACGGCTATAACAATTAATTAACAAATAAAATGTCAATTAATTTTACAAACACTGCGTGAACAGCAAACAAACACAAACAAAAAAGAAAAATATATAAAAGAAAAAACAGAGCGAATGTTATAATAACAGTAAAATGTACCGACTACACACAGGGCACACACACGTTACGCATACGCCGCGTGGTGCCTCAGCCAAACCAAATAAACCCGTCCGCGCTTACACAATGGAAGCCAGAAGACCAAAATACAAAACCAGAAACGAAAAAAAAAGAAAACACAAATTTGCTCATTTATTTATGATTTCAATTTCAATATTAAAGGTGTGTGTGTGTGTATGTGTGTGCGTGGACAGTGGTGAAAGCATTTTTTGGTATTTTAAATATTTAATTGAATGATAAATAAATTTAAGCACTGCCATGCATAAATATAAGCACAAGAGCAACAGTGACAGACAGTGTTGAAGTAGGAGACAGACAGAGACAGACAGAGAGTGTGTACGTGTGCGTGCGCGTGTGTGAGAAAGAGCAAGCGCTAGCAATAATATTGTAAATTGTGCGGTTGTGCGGAGGCGCCCTTTGAACAGAAAGCGAAAAAAATGGCCAAAGCCAATGACTGTGCGGCGGTCACATAAATATTTTTACAACACACACAAGCACACTAACACACACAGCTCATACGCCGCCGCCATTTTGTTGAAGAACAACGGCAGCAGACGCAAATGCAATTTAATTATTACATTTGGCTTTCGCCTCCCATTCGACATCATTTTGTCTGCTTTCAATTAAATTTATTTTTATATAAATAAATAAATATATAGATATATATATTTATAAATTTGCATTTTTTTCCATATTTACTTATTTATTTAAGCATTTATTTATTGCGTTTACTTGGCTCTGCAAAATTATGGTTAAGTCATAAACGAGATGCTTGTCCAACAATGAATTAACAGTCAAATAATAATGGAAATGGCTGAAATTGTATTGCAAAATATTCAGACTTTGTTAAGCTGACACTGAAGGCGATCGCACTTTGTTGAGATATTCATGCATCTCTATCCCTATCGTATCTCGCTATAAGCTATAATATTAAGATATTTTTTTGCAAGTATTATTATTATTTATTATTTTTTGCAAGTATAAATAACAATAAATACAAAAACAAAAATAAAAAATACCAAAAATGTCAATTCAAATAACATGTAGTGTTAGATGAAACGTTCCGATAGATCAAATACATATATATATAATAATAAAAATCAAAAACATACCAGAAATTTCAATACAAATATTAAATGAGAACTCAGCACACGTTGTGTTAAAAGCCAGCCTCGTAGACTAACATAGTTTTCTGATGAATCAAATATATATATACAAAAAAATAACAATAAATACCAAAAACAAAAATCCAAAAATATAAAATTTAAATTCAAATAATTAATGAGAGCTTCTCCTGCGAGCAACCCTCGTACAATGACATATTTTGTTCATAGATCTAATATGTCTATATAAAGTCAGTTTGCATCAAGTATAGAGCATACAATATTCGGTTAGCTTTGTTGATTCAGGATTTTGGGGTTTCTTGAGACAAGTTTTTATTGTGAGCGAATGCGTTTCAAACTCCGTGCACGAAGAAGACGAAATAAAACTTTATCTTTTTTAATATCGACTGGGGAAGTTTGTAATAGAGCGGGAAGTGGAGGTGGGGCGCCAGTGGACGTCATATTTTTAGCAGCTACTGTTGAAATTTCATAAGCAAGCAGCGTAAAGTTCGAAATATGCAAAATAGCAATTGGCTAGGGAACAAGTTACGTAAGGGTGTGCGTGTGTGTGTGTGTATGTGAGTTTGGGGCGGGATTCGAGTGAAAATGTATGTTAGCTTCAGTTAGCTGGGAGTTGGCTGTCGGCTCAATATGAAATTTCAACTGTCCAAATGCTGTTACTGCATAAATCTGCGTTTTGGCTGCTTTCTGGTTGTATTCTTTGACATCTTCATGCATGCGGTGCACATTGAGTTCGGCAATCGTAAGCGAATCGCATTCACACACACAGCAGGAGTGTTCCTCATTAAAAGTCAACAGTTCCACAGATGAAGTATTTAAAGTCTTGAAGCCTTTCATCTATGTGACCCACTTCGTGGGCTGCCTGATGCTCTTCTACAGTGCTGCAGTCGTAAGCCAAATGCGTATGACAATATATGTCTAGCTCTATATATATATATATTTGATTTGCAGCAGGTATCGCTGCTGACATTAGTTTATCTAACGACGGACGTGCTAAAATTTATATTTTTTGTCTTATCGGCCTATGGCTGGATGAACCGGCAAAATACGATATTCACACTGTGCATTCATGTCATAAACATATGCGAGTATCTGATCGAACGGCTTGCACAATCATCTCATCTCATATCTCTCATTTTTCATCTGTTATCTCTTGCAGTGTTTAGCGTTTACTTCTGGCTGGTCGCCTACTCGTACTTCCGGCAATGTAAAGACAATAGCATTGAAACCAGAGGTACTTCTACAGTCAACTGAACCAAATCGGATGACACTGAGAGCGCTCCCAATAGATTGAGGGGCTTCTGAGCCCATTTGAGCCGAATCCAACTGAGCACAGAAGCAGACTTAGTCTATGCGGCAGCGCCCACATGTCCCCATATCCAGATACGTGAAAATTCAATCGAAATTCAAAGACCTCAGCAGCTATCAAAACCGCAAAATAAATCATAGACAAAAAAAAAAAACAAAATGTTCTTTGCTTTTTCATTAGTTAAACAGTTTAATTTCAGGTGCTGCCACAATTGTGATCAAAATGCAAAACTCTGGCTGGATCCTCTCGCTGCCATCGACACTCTGAGATCCATGGAGCCAACCGAGCCGGCAATTGCGCGGCCCCAACTCCATTGCGGATAGCGTTTCGTTGCCGTCTCTCGCCTGAAACGCTCCCATCCTCAATTGGAGCCGCTGTCATGGCCTTGCACCGCATGCTCCAGCAGGTGAATGCACACAAAGTAAATGTAAATGTACTTAAAGCAGTGCATGCTGAATTTCAAGAATGTCAGAAAGTCATCAGACATTCTAAAACAGTAAAACAATAAATTTTGAGTTTTTTATTTTACAAATAGGAACGACAAACAAAATCAAAAAAAAAAGCCTGGCACGTCAAACATAAACAGACCTCTGCAAATCTCTTGTAGCTTAAAAGAGAAAAATAAATAATTAAATAAAACAATGCCAAAAAATGCATTAAAAATAATATGAAAAATATTTATAAAAAAAATTAAATAAAAATTTATACATCACAAGAAAATGTTGTTAATTAATAAATGAATTTTTCAAATTTAAAAGTTATATATATATTTATTTATAAAAGACTGTTCTTTAATAATTATATATGTTTATTTTTACATATAAAAAAACCAAATAAATAAATGCTTATATTAATAGTAAAAATAAAGCAAAATTAAAATTTATTAGTTTTAATAAAAAGTTTTTTTTTTTTTTTAATTATAAGTCTCTGTATTTATATATCAAATAAATTTGTTTTACAATATATTTGATATATTATAATTTTTTATATTTTTTTCATAAAAAAATATTTAAATAAATTGCATTTACTGTTATGCCAGAGTATCTTCTGATGGGCCACGCCCTTAGTGCACGTTTCGACAAAATTTGAGTACTATATAAGACGAAAGGTCTTCCAAATTAACAACTCTAGACCAAACAAGTCAATAAGCTCGTTTAGTTTAGCGAACGTGCATTGAGATATAAATATATATTTAGAATATTATGTATGCGTTTATATGTCATTTTATATTTTATTATAATTCATAAAAAAAATTTCTAAAAATAAATTAAAGAAACTCAACAAATATGTTTTCCAATTCCATGGAAAATTTGAAAAATAAAAAGAAAATACAAAGAAAAACTGAAACAAATTCTTGCGCAGTTTTTTGGGTGTAAAAAGTTTTGCACTTTTCTACATAGATATACCAAAGAGGTATCAAACTATCAGATCGTAAAGAACTTCGCATAAAACTAACTAAAAATAGACGAAAAGAAAAAAAAGTTGAGGCAAATGTTGTAAAATTTTGGCAATTTCTTGGCAAATTTATGTGACTTGTGGGAGAAATAGACGCTTATGTTAAACTTGACTGCAGATAGCAGGACATTTAAAGAGTTTATGGGCCACACACACACACACACACACCCACACATGAGTTATCCTGCTTATCAGAGAGAGGCACACACACACCTTTTCGGCTGCGACGGCGAACGTTAACATAAATTCATAAAATTATTGCCCGTAATCAGCATTATGCATTTGTGAAAACCACAGCGGTAGAGCGAATGGTGGTGCGGCGGCTGGTCCTGGGCCTCCTCATAATTACAAGAATCGTCTCAGCCCGTTCCAGCTACAAGTTTTTTCCAACTGGTTCTGCAGCTCGCTTGATTTGCCAGCAACATTTTCTTTTTAATTATTTATATTTTGGGATTTTTAGCAGGCAGCGCACGATTCAAAGGCTTTGCAACTTTTTACACACACATGAGTGTGAGTGTGTGTGTGCGTGTGTGTTGCTGGGGGGTGTTATTTGCATACATCAGACTGTATGATGCCTGCCCGCCTGCCTGCCTGACGACTGCCGACAATATCTTTTTATGCTCTTTTGCCATGTACAAACACGTATAGGCACATAAGGCGCAGGCAGCACCCATACACACACACACACACACACACACAGAGGTCCCTTACCCCCTAAAGCTATGCCCACCCCATTGCCTTGTGTTTTATTAGGCATGTTAATTAAAAGACATGAAATGAAAATAATTAAAAATATATATAAAAATATATCTACATGTGCGCAATGGCATCTAAATACATGCACACACATGCATAAGTAAACACTATATACGTACACACACACAATACAGGTTTCGCCTTTCAGATCAGAGTAAAAACGGCTTTGAGCCGAACGAAACGCTTTGATTAGCCGCCAGCTAGCTAAAGGGTAAGTGCTAAGCCTTGGCGCTTCGTCCGCCTAAATACTTAACACTTTACACCTTCTAGTCGCCGGCACGCCCACCGCCACCGCCAGCGCCACCGCCTCAGCCAACGTTTTGGCCAAGTTTTTTATCGCCTTATTAACTCATTGCTGCGGTGTCAATTTACAACAATGGCAAACAACAACAGCAGCTGCTTGTAAAACAATAGCCAAGCTGAGCCACCCAGCCAAGCGCCCAACCACCCGACAGGCACCCCACCACGCAATCAGCCAACAAAGTGCCACAGCCCCAGCTCCATTTGCTCCATTGTCTGCGATTTTTGGTTGCGTAGGTGTTGAAAAAAGCAAGTTCCAGCCAGCCAACCACCCAACCACCCAGCCACCCAACCATCGTGGACCATCTTAAGTATTGCTAATAACGCCTACAACTAAGTAAAACAGCTGCCGGGGCCAGGCAGTGGGGCGACGACACTTTTAAGAAATTGCAAAGTTTTCCATCTAACAAAAGGCGCAACTGGCTGGCTGGCAAGGACGAGGAGCCACTCCACTCCACTCCACTCCACTCCACTCGACAACAATACTTTGATGCGATTTTGCGGATATTAGGTGTTAATTTTTCAAAGTACCTACCCACCCCAAGCGGCGCCAACTCTCGCCACCCCAGCTCACTCCAGGCCCGGCATTGCCATGGCGTCTGCAGCCTTTTGTAATTTTAACTGCTTTTGGTTAACACTTTTACGCATTGCCAACTGCCATGGGCGCCCACTTGGATGACATCGATATCACATGGCTGAAAAGACGCCGCCCCCACCCCGCTACCGCCTGCTGCCGCCCACTCTCCACTTTCATATATTGTTGCCAAAAGGCAGGCAAGTCATCGATGGGAAAACTTTTGGCCAAGTTTTTCCTGGCTTGCGTTTTTTATGCGCTTTAATTGCTCCCCCGGGCATGCATCGACTGCTCAGCAGGTTTGTCAAGGCGGGCATTGAGCTACGGCTAGCTACAGGCACCTCCAGCGCTACCCAGCTGCCCCTCCTCCTCTCCCCAGCTTCCCAGCTCCCCCTCTCGCGCTCTCTGTGAGCGCGCGTTTCTGCCATTTATTGAGCATTTTAGCCTTTCATCGATGCTTTTTGGCTAAAATTATTTGGCTCATTTTAATTATTATAACCGCTAAGTACAGGCAGCAGCAGCACACACAGGGGGTGTGGCATACAAATTTTAACTGTTATGCGCTGCGTAGGGTCGCGTCCATGGCGCCATGAGCATGAAAATGAGAATGGAAATGGGAAATGGGAATGGGAATGGGAATGGGAATGGGGCCATTCCCTTGTGCTTGTCGTTTCGGTACATTCCATTGTCATGGTCGGGGCGAGGGCTAGCTTGTTGCCAGAGCTGATTAGTAGTAGGCTCAATTGTTATATAAAATATATATATATATGTGTATTCGCCTATGCGTAGAGCTCGTATTATTAGTTGTCATCGGCTGTTCCGCACTACAACCTAAGACTCTATTGAAATTTTAGTTAATTGACTTGTTTTTTGAGCTTCATCGGCTTGCTTTTAAATTGTTTGTCATGTAGCTTTTGCCTTCGCAATGTGCATCTACTCCTACATCATTATTATTATCGTCTCGCTGGTCATCATCGGACTCATTTTGTTGCACGCTTTCAAGGTTGCGTATTAATGTCGCCGAACGACTCTGTCAGGTATGTCTCTTGGCTCATTTCCTAGATTAGAGCTGTCCAGTGTTGGTAAACGACTTTTGCGACTGCAGAAGTGTGTGAAATGCTATTGGGAATTTTGCCTAGCGGCAGTGTTGGGCAACGGTATTCAGCTGTTATTTTTGTGGCCATGAAGCAGTGTTGGAAAACGACTCGTTTCCAAATGAAAGGTGATAAATTGAAGTTCTTTGATTGACATAGATAAATCGATTGCTAGTAAACAGCACTTAGTTGCTATGAATATTGCCTGACCGCAGTGTTGGAAAATTACATTAAGCAGAAACGACTTTGGCCATGAGGCAGTGTTGGAAAACGACTTGTTGCTATCTGACGTCAGCTCTAAACAGGTATAAATATTACCTGTAAACAGTGTTGGATAACGACTTTACGCTGAAATGGCTGTGGTCGTGAAGCAGTGTTGGAAAACGACTTTTTGATTGCTAAGCATATGGTCGACATGAATGATTTCTAACTTTAGTGTTGGTAAAAAGCTCTGAGCTGTATGAATTCTATCTGACAGCAGTGTTGGATAAGTCACTATTGCTATGGCTCTTACATAGTGTTGGAAAACGAACTATTTAGATATGAAAAAGTAATTGAAGTTCTTTGATTGCCACTATTAGACGTCAGTGTTGGTAAACAGCTCTTCGCTCTTTTAGATGTTGCAGTGTTGGATAACGACTAACAGCAATGCTTCAAACAATCATATAGTCGTCTTGAATATCAACTATTTTCTGTGCTAAAAATAGAACTCGAAAGTCTTTGATTGATTATGCTCTATTTTTTCTGTCTGTGTTGGAAAATGCTGTTTGATGTCATATATATTGCCTGGCAACAGCCCTGAACAATGTCACTCCGCTCTAAATCGCATCCACCATTTATTTATTTATATACAGCTATATTTTTATTGCTTTCTGCTAGTGTTTGAAAGAGACCAGTTGTATCTGTAGAGGAAGCTCTATAAGCTGTAGTTGAGCTCAAAGTATCTTGTGATTTCCCTCAGTGTATAGTAAAATCTGCGATAATCCATCCTTAACAAATATATATATATATATATATATATACATATATATATATATATATATATATATATATACATATATATATGTGTATATCCGATATAAAGAATATAGCTTCAATACTTAAAGATATTGTCGCATTCGACTCGCCTGGCAGAGCGTCTGGGCTCAGCCTCCCGTGCAGTTCATTAAGCAATTATAATTATATGGCAACGACAGCAGCTGCTGGCAGGGCTTGCCGGTGGCGTATGAGTAATAATATTAATAAGCCGTCTTATTTGGCCGCCGCACGTAGACAATGTAAAACAACACGGCGTATGCGTAATTTTCTTGTCGTTATTATTTTACGGGCCAGCGAGCGAACAGTGTGCCAAGCTCTTGGTCTTGGTGCTGGTCTTAGTCTTGGTCTTGGTCTTGGTCTTATCAGCTGGCTGAAGGCATGCTCTGCCAGCGAACAGGAGTCCGCAGCCAGAACTCGCGCTACTCGAGCAACTCGACAGCCGGCGAAACTTTTCGGGCGTCGACGTTGGCTCCGTCTTGGATTTATGCGCTTGAATTTCACACCTTATTGCGTTGTTGCTGCTGGCGGCCTTAAAACAATTAGCGACGGTATTTTATTTTATTTATTTATATACCCTTTCCGCTCGCGCCCGCCAACCCCTTCGCACGCAACCCAATCCGCATTCCAATTGCCAACTCCAACTGGAGTCTGGCCGTGGTTGTTGACTTAATTGGTTGCGCTTGCTCAATGGTTCGTGTCTCGGCTGACAGTGCGTGTGAATGCATTTTGGCTCGGGTTCCTATTGTTCCAGACTCTCTCCCTCTCACTCTCTCCCGCTCTCTTTATTCAGGTTAGCTTGGCTTGGCTTGGCTCGGCTTGACTTGGCTTAAGCCCACCTGGCTGGGCGTCGTGCCTCTGGCTTGGCCTCTCGCCTGCCCATAAAACTAAAATAATAGCCGCATAACATTTTATCTACCGCAGTAATAAATATCCAGTTAATTATAGCAAGCAACAACAGAGCGCGCGCACAATCGGGAAGCTAACGAGAAAAGAGTCAGTGGAGAAATCATATCATAACATATGCTAAGGTTACCGCAACGAGCCGAGAGACCAGCAGAGAGCGAAGAAGTGCGGGAAGGACGCAGGCGAAGCAAAGCATCATTCACTTCAGAGAAAAGCCAATTAAATGGGAAGGGAGGGAGGAGAGAGAAAGAGAGATAGTATGGTTAGATAGAGAACGAGGTAGAGAAAGAGAGAGAGAGAGAAAGAGAGAAAGGGAGAGGCGAGAGAGACGAAAGAGACGAGAGACGAGGAGGAAAAGAAATAATATAAAAAGAGAAAGAGTAAGGGATGAATAGAGGAAGAGAGAGTGAGAGAGAGCACAAAAGAAACACAGGTAGTAAATCTTATGATCGTAAGACTCAGAAAGAAAGCGAGAGAAAGTGAGAGAGAGAGAGAGAGAGAGAGAGAGAGAGAGAGAGAGTGAGCTTAAGATAGAGCGACAGTTGGCTAAAGAGATAAAGAGAGAGCGGCATAGAAAATAAGGCAGAGAGTGAGGAGCCAAACAAGCAGAGATAGAAAGCAAAGAGGGTGCAAGCGAGAGAAGAAGTGAGTCCAAAGACTAGAGAAGAGAAAGAAGAGCAGAAAACGAAAAGGAAAGAAAAACTTGTCTTAGAGCGAGAAAGAAAAATGCAAAAAGAATGAAACTTAAACTGAGAGAGAACCGAGAAGAGTGAAGAAAGTTCAATAAAGAGAGGCAGATTGGAATGTAAAGAGAGAAATATAAATGTGTAGAGGAAGATGAAAATGTAGATGAGAAAGAGGGAGGCAGAAGAAAAGAATAGCTTAGAAAAGGTGCTACGATTTATTCGATACCCAGTATAAGGTATATTGCTATAAGTAATTGCTTTCGACTTGGATGATATCATATAAAAGCATATATGAGATCATATTATGTACCATATAACTACAGCTTATAGTGAACTGACTTCAGGCTCGTCGTCGGAATAATCAAGAGTTCAGCAAGAAGCGAGAGGCATGGCTGGGTTACTATTTGCCAAATCTTGTTGCTTAGTAGTGGAGCTCCACTTCGAATGTTGTCCTGCTCGGTCTTCTCTGCAGCTCAGCGCGACGAGCTGCAGCCAGCCAGAAAACTGTCCAAAGTCGACGCGAGTCTCGCACTGATGACTTACTCAGCTCGTTTGCTAGTTTCAGCAAATTACGAATTCGGAATAGACAGAGCAAAAAGTCAGCATTGGTAATTGAATGGCATTCAAATGGCTTTCACGTGTGCCAAATGGGCTCAGGCAGTCGGGCCGAACCGCTGATTGTGGTTAATACAATAATGATTGGACCGATCGGACGAGTGCGATAATTAATAATTGTCGCGCACTAATTTTCACACTATAACTGCCTACCCCTCCCTCATCCGAACCCTCTCTCCCTTTTCATTTAGGCATTCGACATGGAACGCTGCCCAGATGCGAACCAGACATAAAAACGCGTCGCTCAGCGTCGTAGCTCAACATTGCTCGACTGGACAGACAGCTGGAGAGATGCGTCTAAGCCTAACTTACTTCCTGAGCCTCCTGCTGTTGCTGGCGATGATGTGCGGTCAGGCGCTAGTGGTAAGTGTTCGAATAGCTTCTCTGGTGCACCAGCTCACATTCCACGTTCCTCTCTCGCAGAGCGCCCGGCCACAAGGCCCTTGCGGTCCACCGCCCAGTGGTACACCGCCAAGTGGACCGCGGCCGTCGGGTCCGCCGCCAGGCGGACGCTGCGCGCCACCACCATCGACCACCGCCGCCTCGGGCTAAGCGAGCGCCACGAATGCTCGAAAATTCTGCAACCACCTCGGCAAAAGACTCCACTCCTTCTTTGTGTCTATATATATATGTTTTTTTTTTGATTCTTATTAGCTCACTTTGAATATAATATCGTAAATATTTGCAAGTTGTAAAAAAATTCGAAAATATTTTAATGGGAAAGTAGTTAAAAGCAGAATTAAGTGAAATCATCGAGCCATGTCTAATAAGACTCCAATTGGAGTGTGGCTAGCCAGTGCAGCGCCCTCTATGTCTCATATGTGTTTGTAGAACTATGGATCGACTGTGGTCCAACATTAAGACTGTGCTTTTTTTAGAGCCTTACAACTTTAAGTAGAACTCACTGCTTTAGCTGAGAAGCTGTTTAATGGCTGATTATTGTTTTTTATTAAGTTTGGCTTGACATTTTACTGTTTATTGACAAACATCAAGATATAATCATTACATCCGCAGAATTGTACTGTTTGCTTCGCTTTGTGGACAGAGTGATTGCTACTGATTGGTGCTGTTTGTGATGATTGTGCAAATTAATATTTATGATTGCATCTCATATTGGCAAACCAAAATTATATTGAAACATTAATGTCATGAGTTTTGTTATGAAATAAAGCTCATTTTGTTGATGTTAAAATTATATTTTTTTAGTTTAGTGTAATTCAAAATTGTGTAACTTTAAAAGAAACAGCCAGAAAGCTTTGCAATCAAAGCTATGTATGACTAGCCTTATTGATTGGATAAGATCGCTGCAATAGAAGGAGAGAGAGAGAGGATGTGGGAGAGCGAGATAAAGAGACTGCCATCAGCTTTGTGTAAAAGGTTTTTGCTTCGTGGCCAGCCCAACACGGCTCAGTCCACCTCAGCGCAGCTCAGTCCAGCTAGAGTCCAGGCTCTAGTCCAGTTGAGTGCTCATTTAATTTGCCGTTCAATTCCACATTCGTTTCGGGTGTTGAATTTTTAATCACGCACACGCCTGACCCCAAAAAATGGAGCATAACGAAGGCAGGAGCGTGGCCAAGGAGTCGGGCGTGCTCTCAGCTCTCAGCTCCAATTGAATATGCAAGCCAAGCGAGACTGAGCTGGGGACTGAGAGCGAGACAGAGTCTGGCCACCAAAAACTATGCACACACACACACCCACACACACAGATGAAAGAGGTCAACTCAATTTGGTCGAAAGTGGAGTTGGCTCCAAGCAGACCAAGCCCGAACGCCCACGTCCACAAACCAATCCAGTGAGTCGCCCAACGCTTTAAGTTTAGCTCATTAAATAATATCCTTTGCTGGCTGTGGCAGTGGCTGGGGATGGGTGGAGTGGCACGGACGTCGCTTATCAAAATGTTGCCTGTCGAACGACTGTTCGGCCGAGGGTCTGTGCAGGGCTTCCTTGGGACATGGTCGATGCGTTTGGCCTCTGAACTGCGGCACTTTTTGGTCAGCCCGCCCCCACTGGGCTGGCCACTTGCTGGGACAGTTTTCAGTTTTCAGTTTTGTGAAAACGCTTTTAAATATTAAAATCCATGACGATTTCCAACGCAACATTTTCGCCATATAATTTCGTAGTTCGTTCGAGCTGCGCAGCTGGGGAGCTGGCCCGGAGCTTGGATTGGGGCTGGACGGCTGACTGTCTGGGTGTCTGCCGCCCGTTGCGCATATTGAATTTATTTAATTAAGGGTTCCATGTGGCACACACACACACACACACACACAGATAGGGTTAGTGCTGTATGTGACTCTCAGCTCGATGACTTCATTTTCAAAAGTATGCAACGATTCCTTTTTTTATTTTAATTTTTCTACTGCTGCTGCTGCTGCTGCTGCTGCTGCTGCTGCCGCTGCTGCTTCTGTACATTTCACAATAATTTGCACAAGTGGCGAGCAATCCCCCAAACCCCACCTCCTACCACTACCCCTGCCCCTGCGAATACGTGTCCATAGCTCAGCATAGTTTTTGGGACGAGCTTGCGCTCTGTGGCGCTGTCCAGACTCGGTTGGGGCATGCCACATTTCGACTGACTTCTTCTTGCTGTAATTATTAAACGAGCGCGGGCGCGCGGCAGAGCTGTATAATTAATCGATGTCCAAGCGACACCCAAATCAAATGGGCTTCCAAATAATCGGCCACGAAAACCGCTAATACGCCAACATTGGCAACACAAGAAAAAAAAAAAAAAACAAAAAAAATAAAGCGAGAAAAACGCGACCAAAAATCAACACACAAAATACACAAGCAATGGCAGCAGCAGCATGTGGCATGTGGCATGTGGCAAGCGGCATGAGGCATGAGGCATGAGGCATGTTCGTGTGGCAAGCGCCAGACTTGGCCAACGCAGTCAGTCAACATATGTAAGTGTGTGGCTGGGCGGTTGTGGGTGGTTGTGTTGCAGCAAATGTTGATCAATGCATGCACTCTCGCCCTCTCTCTCTCTCTTTAACAGTGGCTGTCAAAAGTTTGCTAACTGCGCTCAGCTTTGGCTCTAAATGTTTCGACTTTAGCCTAAGCGAACTTTCACCAGATCAAGCATTAGCTCATTAGTTCTAAGCTACAAATGTCTAGGTCCAAATGCACAAGGAACATGCGAAATTGTCTATTTGTAGAGCTACTTCGACCTGCTACTCTAAGCCAAATTAAGCTATAACTAGTTGAGTTCTAGGCGCTCAGCTTGCGCTTTTGCAAAAGTGCTAAAGCGAGTGAGTTTCACCTCTCGCGCTCGACCTCTCTCTCTCTCCCTCTGTCTTCAAGCCAGCTATATATAGAAATAGCAGAGTCGCTTTGCTTAGCATTTCCATTTAAGGCTGCCTTCTCAAATTGCACTAGTATTAGTGTATGAGGCTGAGCGCCTGTCTGCAGTAGCTGTAAAATTATTATCCGAGTGAGTTTGCGTCTTAGCTGCACTGCGAGTGAGCGAGACAAAGATAGCTGTTGCCGAACTTTGCTCCGAATGTGGTTCAGTGAGAGCGAGCTGGCTGCTGAGGCACTCCGAACAGGATCGTTATGGGTGTCAGTCGACGAAGCAAAGGCGACTGAAAGTTGGATAAAATTATAATGGAAGTTGATTCACTCAATACAAGCAAATATATAATAAAAACTGACTAAGGTGTAATAAAATATGATTTAAAAGATATATATGATATATGATATATGATATGATATACATATACGACATGTAATTGCATAGGATAGACGATTCTTCCATATGTCAATTCCGGATAAAACACTTCCTTCTGCTCAAGGTCAACGGCATTCGCATTAGCTTGAATGCAACATTTTTTGGCAAGTGTATGAAGAACTCGCCAGTTGCAGCGAAAGTGTGGGCGGCATCGAAGTGGGTGTGGCTGCTGTGGCATACGGAGGCCGTGGAGCTGTTTGGAGTGGACGCGAATAATAATGATAAACATCGGGCAGGACGGGGCAGGCAGCTGCCGCTGATGTGTGCAGCAAGGACTCCACAGCCACACACACGCACACACGATGTGTGGCACGCACTTTCGCTGCGACGCGACTACGTCAAAAAGTTTGTTTTGACAAATGATGTTGCTGACATTTTGTGTGCCCTCCAAGAGTCTGTCGGGCTGTCTGGCTGTCTGTTGGTCCTTTGCTGATGCAGGACCTGCATCATTTGGTGTCCTTGGCCTCACATGCCACATGTGTGCCACGGACGCCAACGCCGTAGCCGTTGCCACTGCCTAATGAACTTTTGTTTGCGCCTCTTCGACAATTGACAGCGAAATTATGAGAAAGAGGAGGGTAGAGGAGAGACAGAGAGGTCTATATAGAGAGTGGGCGAGAGAGTGTGTGGGAGAGAGATAGAAACAAGTTATCCAGCAGCCTAAAATCATTTTGCAGCTCAACAAGTCGCGCTTAGCTCAAACACTTAATGAGAAACTGAAGAAGCAGAAGATCAAAGTAAAATAATTAAAAGAGGCAATTAAAACATATAAAAATTAGATCGAAAGCAACACCAAGCAGAAATAAATATAAATTGAAATTATTAATAAATTTCATTAACAAAACATCACCCATTGCACATAATAATTCAAATAAATATTAACATTCTGTCTATTATTATATCAATGTATATATATATATATATATATATAACCAAAGCAAACCCACTCACAAACCTGTCGCTGGCTTAGTTGAGTAAATCTGCTTGTTGTTTGCACTCAAGAGCGCTGGGCATTTGCTTTGCACTCAATTTCTCCGCTCGAGCGGTGAGCATTTTCGAAAACAGGGGAAACCTTTCGAAACTGAGCGAGTTCGAAACGCGCATAGCGAACCACATGCGAACGCGCTCAATGAGGGGCAGCCGTTGAGCGCAAATGGCACGACGTGCGAGCGCGCACGCAACTGGCCGGACAAGCGCACGAGAGAGACACCAACAACAACTGAGTGCTACCAGCACTCACTCAAAACAGCAGGGGGCAGGGCCTTGGCACAAAGCGGACAGCCGATTTCTTCAAATAGTTCCAAATGCAAATGGCGGCCAGGCCGAGCGACAGGTTTAACAATAATAAAATACGTTAAATAAATATTTTTATTTTCTTTTTTTAATTTAATTTTTTCTCATTTTTTAAAGTTTTTTTTACTGTTTTTCTGTTTATTTTTTTTATATTTTGTCTTTAAGGCTTATCGCGTTTGCTTGCCACAAGATCAAATTTGGCGACAAGTGCGTGGCTGGCTGGCTGGCTAGCTCGGTGGGTTGCATTGTATGCAAATGCAGTTGCAAGTGCATTTGTGGTGCGTGCCACAGGCAACTGGCAACTTGTAAACGATTATCAATTTGTCATAAATGGATGGGGCTGCCGCTGATAGATGTTGGCCCCGGCCAAGGCAATTGGCCAAAAATGTGCATCGGCTCACCGCGATAGGCCTACAAGAGAGGCAACAACACTCTGAGCCACCGCGTGGAAGAGAGGGACGCCGCGCGGTAGAAGCCACCAAAAATGGGTCAAACACACAGAGAGAGAGGGGGGGGAGGGAGAGAGAGGGAGGGGCCGATTCGTCTCGCTGCTGCTGCTGCTGCCACTGCTGTTGGCCCCTTGTAGATGTTAATCGCATTTGA